GTTGCGAACGGTTGCCGTCGCTCCGGTGCCGCGGCGCCACTCGTAGAAGATGATGTATCGAACATGGTCTCGTGGAATTGACATCGTGATTTAAGCTAAAGGAGGAAGCGCGCCTATATATACCCATTACGGAGAAGGTTCTAGAATGTTCTACCACTACCACATGGTAGATCATTGGTAATTGGTAGGTAATTGGTATCAAGAATCGAAAATTCTGGAACTTTCAAAAAACCCTATCAAAATCTTTTTGATCAACCTAATAATTGAACACTACTATCCACAATATACGATTGTAGGGTTTCTCTTCAAGCGAGGTGATTTCAGAATTAGTGATGAGATTTAGCGGCATTTTGGAATGCTAACCTTTTGCATCTGCAATTGCTTGTCATCACAGAACAGGGCCTGCCAAATAGTTGTAGGTGCATCAGGAAAAACGTCAGGACCTATAAAAGTTCTGCCATAGTCAGGCTTCTGCAGTCTACGACTGCCTATTCGGAAACAATTGGTAATGTCGGAATCTGGTAGGCGGTGTCAAAGTCCACCAAGGCGTTTCCTACCATGGCTTGCTCTCTACCTGAGCCGGACACTATTGGTAGAAAATGCATCTTGACGCCGCCCACCGGAATGCGATATGAACTATGTGAATGTCACCTACCAGAGATGGGTGTGGTACCCTCCGTAATTGGTACAGACGTATATTCAAAAACGTTGGAGGTTTCGAGTAGATTTGTTTCATCAAAGAATATCATCTAAAGGTGCGAGTATAAAGCCCAACTGAGGCGTCACAGCTGAATCGCATGCGACAGAACTTCCATAGAAGATATGTCTTACCTCTTTTCGAGTTAGTTTCACGCCATGTAACCAGTACCAGTGGTGGATCAGCACTCCGGCAAGAAACGCCACAAAACCGCATGTGCACGTTGAAAGCCGTATAAGGCAGTTGGTAAAATAAACTATAAAAGCAAAGGATAAGCTAGCAAGTAGCCGTTTTTAGAAATGTTGTCAGGCCTTTGATAAAGCGAATCTAGGGGGAGTCAATCGCATGCTGGCTTCCCTTCAAGGTACAGTATATGATGGCAAAATAATGATAATAGCGTTCCCGACGTAAGCAGGACCCCCTCTTCTCCAGGATGGAATGTTGCGAGGTGAGTGCATGTTCGTGTCTTTTTCTCTTGTCATAGCAGGTCTCCAGGTCTCACCCCATGTCACGTCACTTTCTCCATTAAACGTAGGCTGTGCTGTGCGATCACTTGCTGTTCGTGGGTAACGGGGCTCAACCAAGTAACAAGGTGATTAGAAACTAATAAGTTGAAGAAAGAGAAGGAAACAGTTGTAAGATTACGGATAGGGCTTCGTGCTAGCGCGATCTTCCAGAACATACAGCGAATGGGGGGGGCGTGCTTTGACGAATTGTTACTTGTTGATACAATGGGGATAACAGTTCGCTTTTTCTTACTTAGTTTTACCTCTCGGAATGGAAAGAGTTATACGAGTGGGGGTCATACTTGTCCGCTGGGGAGGGGGGGGGGTCGTGGCTGTTGTTGGGAGAAGGGGGTATGTGCTTTTGAGAGAAATTGACCACGTTGGGAGAAACCTTTTTCCGGTTGTTGACTTTTCGCGGTTTTTTCCCTTTCGCATGTGCTATTCAGCTCCCCGCCCCACCCCCTAGACGGAAAATTTTTGGGTGAAAAACTGGTAGGGAATGGGGAACTTGTAGGGAAGTGATAGGTAGGTGCTGGGGAAGACGACAGGTTCTCCCTAAGTGGGGGGGAGGTCGTACTGATGCCAGCTTCTAACACATCACGATGCTGTATTCTTTCCCGAAACCCACCAGCCTCAGACAATGGGTAACGCACACCACTAGCCTCAGACAATGGGTAACATACAGACGTCATCATGAGCACCTAGTGTCCTCATCAGGCATTTCTGAGTCGCGAAGTGAGACACCTTTTGTGGTTGTGAACCAGACTGCCGCGTATAGAGGACGCCTCATACTAGCTGATCGCGTCTCGCAATACGGCGGTCCGGAATGTGTTGGAAGGTGTCGGCCAGCGAGAACTTGAACCTGGAGCTAACGATTAGCGGATCAGTGTGCTAACAGGTACGCCACTGAAGTCGCGTTATATCCATCTCGTTATCTCGTGAGGATAGTCCCCAACGCACAGGCAATTCGTAAGCGTCCTTCGATATCCAGGTAGTCCGGCATTCAAACTCTGAGACTGTCCCAATTCCGCAATTCACAGGGAGTAACAAAGGCACTGCGGCCCTCATAAATGGCGATTTCGACGCCTCCCTCATTGCAACGCCTTTGAGACGGGGAGAGACAGATGAACATTGGGCACTTTTGCTACTTCCCATCGACGTGTCGACCGATATCGAGAGCTATTTCATGAGCTAGCAGGAATTGACAGGTTTTAAGGTGGTGATCTACGAGTTTGCTCCAACTTCGCGAGAGTTCGCAAGTATCACCAGTGTAAGACTCGTGATCCGAACTAGTGAAGCAGCCAAAGTCCGAAATGCCTCCCCATCCTCGTCACCGAACTGCGCCCTTATCTATCTTCTGCAACAAGTTTAGTTTTTACAATGTGTTTTTGGATTTTTTTTCTTTGTTGGATGGTGTCGGCACTGGGTTGCGAAGGATTAATGAGGCAGAGGCGGTAGGATGTCGCTTTGCTGGCATAAAACCACGAAGTCGGGGAAACTCAGTGAGGCTGCCAGCGGGTCCTTACAGAGCCACCCAATATATTTGCTTTTTTCTTCCCTGGTCATTTAGCGACTATAGGTTCGTTATTGAACG